TCCCTTTTATTCTATATACTAATGTGTTATTCTTATTTTTCACAATAAGCATATATCACGTATTCATTTTATAATTAAAAATACCCAGAAGTTTTTAAACATTAAAAGTGCCTTCTTACCTAGTTAAAGGGGGCTGCAGTTAGATTGGGGGTTTCTTATGGGAGTATTCTGAGAACAACAGATGTTCTTCAACTCAGTGAAATGAAGCAGTGTGGGGATTATCCCTTTGAAGACCCCCTATGACAGACTTCACTATTGGCCTCTTCCCTTCATCACTCGAAATTTTACCTTCTTAAGTCATAGCTTGATGACTTATGGTCAGGAAGTGCAAAGAAATCTTAACACCAGCCTAAGAAAGTTATGTTTTGACCACATTTATTAAAATGATAAGTAGGAAAAGACATAAGCAGAAATAATTGTTTAATTATCAGTTTTGCTGGGTGTGGTGGCTCATGCCTGTAATACTAGCACTCTGGGAGGCAGAGGTGGGAGAATTGCTTGAGCTCCGGAGCTGGAGACCAGCCCAGCCTGAGCAAGAGCAAGACCCCATCTCTTCAAAAGAAAATAGAAAAACTAGTCGGGCATGATCATACGTGCCTGTAGTCCTAGCTACTCTGGAGGCTGAGGCAGGAGGACTGTTGAGCCCAGGAGTTTGAGGTTGCTGTGAGCTATAATGACTCCAGTACACTCTACCCAGGGTGACAGAGTGAGACTCTGTCTCCAAAAAAAAATCAGTGTCATGTCATTTTTGTAAATGATCAAGAACTGGCCACGTGTATTTTATGTTCAGAATGGGTCTGCCCTGATAGCTAGATACAATGGGATGGAGGATACAGTTGTTGAAAAGTTTAATTCCTGCCCTTCAGTGTAGTAATTTATAATCTAGTTCAAAGGCAAGTATTCTCTAAACTAGCGATTGGTGAAGGTAGATGGAGGAATGGGGTGAGAAAAAGGAAGATTTTGTTCTTCATTTCTAATCCAGCAGGCCTGAGAATGTCTTGGTACACAGTTCCCTGCCTAAGAAAGCCATCATGCTGGAGAAGTTCCTTGGGAAATCGATATGACTTTGAGTGTTTGCTCAGTGAGATACTTGAGACCTAAGCAGAAGTGATACTGAGCAACTTCTTAGTGGAACCCAAAAGTTCCAAGGCAGTTGGTAAATGACAGTTACAAATAAAGAAGGGGCAGAAAAAACATGTAGGGGAATGAATGATGAACTAGGCCCAGGAGATGCTGAAATTTTGTAATAAAGACGTCATATCACATACCTTCGAGCATCCACCTGGCAACTTGCCTTCCATTTTCAGCATGCTGGACAGCAGTAATCAGCCTCATTGCAACAGCGAGCTCATAGGAGAACAGCTGCAGCAGAAAGTCTCTCAGTTGCAGGATCAGCTGGATGCTGAGCTGGAGGAGAAGAAAAAAGTCTTACTTGAGCTGTCTAGAGAGAAAGGTAGGTTGGGCCTTGAAAACTGTCTCAAGTACAACATCCTCTGCATCTGGTTTGGGAGAAGGGAACTTGGGCCATCATTTCTCCAATCCTCTTACTTGATCCTATTCTTTTGTGGGTCATAGATAACTAGAATAATAACACTGGCAGTTAGATCAGATTTACAATCAGGGGCTGGGCATGGTGGCTCATGCCTGTAATCCTAGCACTGTGGGAGGTGGAGGCAGGAGGATCACTTGAGCCCAGGAATTGGAGACCAGCCTGAGCAACATAGGGAGATCCTGTCTGTACAAAAAATACGGAAAACTTAGCCAGAAGTGGTGGCATGTGCCTATAGTCCCAGCTACTTGGGAGGCTGAGGCAAGAGGATCACTTGAGCCCAGGAGTTTGAGGTTGCAGAGAGCTATGATGATATCACCGCACTCTAGCCAGGGTGGCAGAGCAAGATCCTGTCTCAAAAAAATAATAAATAAATTAGGTTTACAATCAGGAAAGCATGACACCTACCTATCTCACATGTTTACTTTTTCTTATATAATGTCTTTCCATTTGGGAGGATGCCAGTTTTTAATTTATTTTGGCTTTAAACATTCATTTTATTTATTGAAAGTATTGAAAATGAATTTCTCTGCCTTTTATCATTTTCATCAATCCTTTTAGAGGTGAATGGGAGCCATTTTTTTAAGCCCTTGATACCTGAAGTTGAGAAGCAAATTACTACTCTTGGTTACCACTACCATTTTACCCCCTGTCTTAACTCTGATTACAGGAGATAGTTATTTGGAAGATTTAAAAATACTATCACAAAGACCTTCATCTCACTTCTTTTTCCTAGCCTTGACCTTAATATTTAGTCTTATCAAACTCATATCTCATCAGATTCTAATATATTCAGATAAGAGACTGAAGGAAAAGAAATGTAACATCAAGAAAAGTAAAGTGCTTGCTTCAGCAGCGCATATACTAAAATTGGAACGATACAGAGAAAATTAGCATGGCCCCTGCGCAAGGATTACATGCAAATTCGTGAAGCGTTCCATGTTTTAAAGTTTTAAAAAAATTTATAAAAAAAAAAAAAAAAGAAAAGTAGAGGCAGGAACCATAATAGGATAAAGTTTAGGAGCACCTGCCAAGGACCCTGTAGTATGTATGAAGTACAAGTGAAGTCTTATAAAGACCTTAAGGACAATCTAATTTAACCCCTTGTCTAATGCATGATGATGAAGCGATCTATTTTCTAAACACTGGTCACCTTCCTTCCCTGAAAAACACACACACAGAAATGCCCATCCTCCCTCTAGGTCAGAGTGGGTAGGGAGGTGGGTACCACAGAGAGCCAATAGCCTAGAAGTCAGAATGGAGTGGAGTGGAGTTGGTGAGATACTGGTTTTCATGGTGCTGCCAAAAAGTCTGGAGTGCTCTAGTCAGTCAAGTGACTTTGTTTTTGTTTTTGTGCTGTTGTTTTTGTTGTCGTTATTCCCCCTTCCACACTACAGTTCTGTAGATGTATTTTTGTTTTGTTCTTGGAGTGCAAGTGTCACCTCAGTTTACTGGGTCAGTGAGCTAGAGGCCCTTTGTAGAAATAAGAGAGAATTGCTTCTCTAAGGGCAAATTTATACAAATAAATGAAACATTAGTGGGAAAATTTAATTCACACTTGATCCAATTCTGACCATGGTTACTAATAACTACAGGGTTTCAACTTTCTGGATTATGTTTTCCCCAGCCCAAAACAAGGATCTGAAGCTTGAAGTCACCAACATGCTTCAGAAGCATAAACAGGAAGTAGAGCTCCTCCAAAAAACAGCCACGATTTCCCAAAATCCTGACAGCCAATCTGAACCAGCTGCTCACCCAACTGTATTCCAAGAGACCACTCAGATAGAGGTAAGAGCCTCTTTAAACAAACTCTTCCACTCTACAGAGGGTTCTCTGGCAAATATGTCTAGGAAAGATGAAGAGATTAGGGAAGTAACTGAATAATATTTTGTCCTGATTGAGGACAATATTTTTCGAAAGGATCTGAGAAGCCTGAGAGTAGAGAGAGCTTCAGGAACTCTACCCATTTATTCCCACTCTTTATAGCTCATAAAATTCAGAATCTTTTTCAGGTGGGGACTTGCAATGATCTGCTGAAAAGCAAATAGACATTAGAGGCTGTATGATCTCCCTTCACTGCTGCTACTGAGCATGAGGACTAGGGAAGAGAGCACTTGTGAAGTAATAATACAGGTTCTCTTTTACATTTTGGAGTAAATTCTGCTGCCAGCATTTTACTACTACCAACAACTACTTTATGAAAAATAGTTATTACTGTACCTGTCATATTTATGCTCTCCTCTACCAATGCTTTTCCCTCTACAGCCCAGTGAACCAAAAAACCAAGAAGAAGAGAAACTGTCCCGGATGTTAAGTGTGTTGCAAGTATCACATGCAGAGACCACATTGGAACTAGAAAAGACCAGAGACATGCTTATTCTTCAGCGCAAAATCAACGTGTGTTATCAGGTGCAAGAAAAGGTTGTACAGGAAGGGAATAGATAAGTAGACTCATGGGAACCATTCAGGAGACTGGGAATGAAGCAAGACTTGAGTTTCCAGGGCTGATGCCAGGTGATATGCTGGCCTGTGCAAACACAGAATATGCTGTCCTTTGAAGAACACATACCCATGGCACCTTGGCACTAGAAGCCAATAAAAAGCTAATGAAAATGGCCAGTGTGAAGCTTCTGGGTTCAAATTTTGCTAGTCCTAGGAAAAGACTACCCTATAGCACAAATAGCACAACTAGTCCTAGAGGGATCTGTGAGGAAGCCAAGCCTTTTTCTAGTAGATGAACCTGCCCTAAGGAGATAGCAGAGTCGTCTTTACCCAGCAAGTGCCACCTTTTTATCTGAGCTCTTTGGTTCTAGGCTACTGAGATGGAAAAGTTCAGACGTTATTTTGTTTCAGGAGGAACTGGAGGCCATGATGATGAGAGTTGATAATGAAAATAGAGATCACAAAGAAAAACTGGCTAGGTTGAGTCAACTCCTAGACCTCAAGAACAACCGTATCAAGCAACTGGAAGGTATTTTAAGAAGCCATGGCCTCCCAACATCTGGCAAGTCTTAGTAACTTAGTACTTTGTTCTCCTCATCTTGGGACCCTTCACACAACTAACACCTATGTTCCCCTCTGTGTACATGTCTGGAAGGCTGCCTCTTATGCCTTGTGACTCATCCCTCTTGTTCTTTACCCTGTCATCTTTGTTGTTTTAATACATGTTAGCAACTTCTTTCCCTCCATCATGTCAGTATATTTCTCTGATTTCTCTGGAGAGTTTCAACAGGGCTGAGAAATTGCTTCCAGGGGGTTGATCCTATTTTGAGAATGAGAGTATCACTGTTGGCCCTCAGGGTGGTATAACACACTTGTGCTCACACACGCTCTCTCTCTCTGTCTTCCCCCTCATTGTTTCCTCAAAGCTGTTTTGTCCGGTAATAGAGCTTTATCACTCATCTACCATTATCCTTTTCTGTGATTTCTCTCTAAAAGTCTCTAACAACTTTGTTACAATTTCAGGCTGTCCTCAGTGACAGAGCAGCTGGCTGGACACTTAATGCAAGTTTCGTATTGTGGTACTTCCTATATTTAGAACAGTCATTGATGACCAGGGTGTGTTCTTAGCCTTGTACGTTAAGAAACTTGGTTTTGTTATTATACCTAGTGGTGAGATATCTGACTCACACTAACCAAATTCACCAGAAACTTATATTTAAACCTAAATGTTCATTTGTTATTTTATGATAATAGCTATTCCATTGCTGCCATTAGAATATTTGGAACCACTGTTCAGGGCAGTCCTCTCTATGGCAAGCAGAATCTGTAGGCAGGTTTCTTAGTGAGCAAGGAACGAGAATAAAAGGAGATAAGTCTTTCTGGGGCATGGTTTACCTATGCCAGGGTGAATCAGATAAAAGGTAACTGCCATATAACAAAGGAAATCCTCTCTTGGATTGAAATTCTTATGTCTTTCTCCTTGGACAGTGCAGGATAAATAACCTTACTTCTGAATATTTAATTTCCTTAACTTATAGTTCTTTGATCCTTGGTAAGGCTAAAGAATTTTTCCTATGTTTACCAGTTACTTGTATTATTCCTTTTGAGAATTAACTGTTCCTATTCTTTGCCCATTTCTTAATAGTATCTTATTGATTTATAGACGTTCTTTCTATGCTAAGACTATTAACCCTGTGTCATATAAAAATTTAAATAGGCTGGGTGTGGTGGCTCACACCTGTAATCCTAGCACTCTGGGAGGCCAGAGGCAGGTGGATTGCTCAAGCTCAGGAGTTCGAGACCAGCCTGAGCAAGAGCGAGATCCCGTCTCTATTAAAAATACAAAGAAATGATCTGGACAACTAAAAATATATATAGAAAAAATTAGCCGGGTATGGTGGCGCATGCCTGTAGTCCCAGCTACTTGGGAGGCTGAGGCAGGAGGATTGTTTGAGCCCAGGAGTTTGAGGTTGCTGTGAGCTAGGCTGAAGCCACAGCACTCTAGCCCGGGCAACAGAGTGAGACTCTGTCTAAAAAAAAAAAAAAAAAAAAACCTTAAATATATTGCATTTGATCATATTAATCTTATCAGTAAGAAACCATTGGTCAATCTGCGTATTCCATTGCGGATGTTTTTGGACATAAAGACATTCTGATGTATCAGAATGGAAAATTTTATGTATCAGTAGGACAATTTTATTCTACTGCTTTAACTCTTAAAATAGGACCTTCACCATCAACACACTGTGATGACTCAAATACTCTCCAATTTGGAACAGACTATATATCAAAGTCTGATTGGTTGGACATGAGAGGTAATGCCCATATTCAGTAGACTGTCTACATGTCTTGGCATCCCACTGCCAGTATTTTCGACCTCTTTCCAGTAAGTCTCCTCTCCCACTTTTTACTCCACTACTCTTTGACTTAGAGTGGATTTTTTGCCTTCTTATGATGAAACCAAATTCTGAACAGAATGAAAACTCTTGTGACTGATTTGGCTGGAGAAGGGGAAGCATTTCTTGGTGGGACCCAATGTAATGTCACAGACACTGTATCTGTAACTTGTTATTCTCTCCATGGCCAATATGCCATGCTTTTAGAAATATTCAAACTGTATTTTTCTAGTGCTTCTCTTATGGAATTACCAATTAATTTGTAGGACCATGATGTAATCCAAAACAATGTCATCTATGTCACAAAATGTGTCCCCAGTGTTTTCGTGAGCTTAGTGTTTACTTTCCAATCACTTATTTTGTACTTTCTCTCTAAAGCAGGCATTGGATTATTTGGCCATCGGAATTCAAAGTTCCTACTTGTCATTGTATTGCTTTTTCTTTTTAATTATATGGTTTCTTGAAATAATTACAACTTGGACTTCCACCATGTTTTATTCTCCTTTGTGTACCCTCCTCTACTCTAAGGAAGAGCTACCTACCCTTTAATGGATAGGCAGTTTTCTTTCCCCTCTAGAACAGCTCAAAGATGTTGCTTATGGCACCCGACAGTTGTCATTATGTCTGGAAACACTGCCAGCCCATGAAGATGAGGATGGAGTGGACATTTCTCTGCTGCATCAGAGCGAGAATCTTTTTGAACTCCACATCCACCAGGCCTTCCTGACATCTGCCGCCTTGGCTCAGGCTGGAGATACACAACCTACCACTTTCTGCACCTATTCCTTCTATGATTTTGAAACCCATTGTACCCCACTGTCTGTGGGACCACAGCCCCTCTATGACTTCACCTCCCAGTATGTGGTGGAGATAGATTCTCTTTTCTTGCAATACCTTCAAGGGGCTTCAGCCCGGCTTGATCTATACCAGGCTGTGGCCAGTGAACACAACACCCTTGCAGCTGGATGGATATGCTTTGACAGGGTGCTAGAGACTGTAGAAAAAGTCCATGGCTCAGCTACACTTACTGGTAAGTGCTGTTGCCTTCCTACAGCTCCTAGGACCAATGCAAAATTTCCCAAAGTCTATAGTTGCTCTCCTGGTGATTTCCCATTTCTTCCTCTGCCTTTATTCTTGATCCTTGCCACACCATCTGTATTATCCATGCCTTTCATACTTTCTGCTACCCAGGAGTTGGTGGAGAAGAATTTGGGATGCTAGAGTACTGGATGAGGCTGCGTTTCCCCATAAGACCCAGCCTACAGGCATGCATTAAACGAAAGAAAGCCCAGGTCTACCTGTCAGCCAATGTGCTTGGAGCCTGGGAGGCCCAGGAGGATGAGGTGAGACAAAGGATGTGCCCATGCATCTCAAAGGAGCCCCAGCCAAACAGCTCAGTCTTTCACTCTCAACAAGTATTTTCTTTTTTAGAGACAGGGTCTCACTCTGTCACTCAGACTGGAGTGCAGTGGCATGATCATAGCTCACTGCAGCCTCTAACTCTGGGGCTCAAGAGATTCTCCCACTTCAGCCTTCCCAGTAGCTGAGACTATAGGTGCATGCCACCATGCCTGGCTAATTTTTAACTTTTTTGTAGAGACAAGGTCTGGCTATGTTGCCCAGGCTGGTCTTGAACTCCTGGACTCAAGCAATCCTTCTGCCTCGGCCTCCCAACATGCTGGGATTAAGGTGTGAGCCACCATGCCTGGCCTCAATAAGTATTTGTTGAATGTGAATGAAAGAGAAAAACTGTCACACCACAGATGGTCCAGATTATTCCCTTGGTCAAGCTTGAGTTAGAAATGAAATAATGCTCTTGGAGCTAGCTACCTCTCCTTGCTGTGAACAAAATAGATTCTTTGTGCCATCCTCTAAGATAAGGCCTGAGTGCTAGCATCTCCCTCAAATAACTGCCAGACCCAATTTGCAGGCAGGTGAAGGTCATTAGGTTTCTCTGTGACCCAGTCAGGATAGCTATTCTTCATATCATAGTTCTTCCTCACCAAGGGTGCTGGGCTTCACCTTCTACACTCTCAGGCTGCTCTTTTCCTCAATCCAAGATCAACATCTTTCTAGTCCAGATCAGAGACTTGGAAACCTCAGAATGAACTGCGGATTGAAATCACCAGGTGCTGTGGCCTCCAGAGTCGACGGCTGGGAACTCAGCCTAGTCCATATGCCATATACCGCTTCTTCACCTTTTCCGACCATGACACTGCCATCATTCCAGCCAGTAACAATCCTTACTTTAGAGACCAGGCTCGATTTCCAGTGCTTGTGACCTCTGACTTGGATCAATATCTGAGGCGGGAGGCCCTACGTATATACGTTTTTGATGATGAAGACTCGGCGCCTGGCTCATACCTTGGTCAAGTCCAAGTGCCCTTGCTGTCTCTTGCACAAAACAAATCTATTAAAGGTGGGAGTTCAGGGTTATTACATCTTTGTACTCTCTGCCCAGTGTTGTCTCCCTGTCCTGATTCTACTTTTCTTTGATTACTTGCTTGGAACAGTCTCTCGTAAGATCTGATGAAAGGACTTTAGAATATTGTCAAGAGTGACAAAGCAGAAAACTTAGAGCCTCACTCCTCATCTGAAAACATTGGCTTCTTCTTTTTGGCAAGAAAAGCAAGATTCCTAAGTGGATAGACCCGCCAACCTGAATTCCATACCTCTACCTCTGAACAAACTTTTTAAAAGTCTGTAGTGCTATTTGTCTTTACTTAGGGCCTATTGTTTCTTCGTGAATGGCTAGATAGCTGATTATAAACTGAGACCTTAACAATCCCCCACAATTCTCTCACTTCTTTAAAACATTAGATACAAGTTAGAGAGACTTGCATGCCAGACCATAACAAAGGCAAATCTCTTGGATTCCACCCCACCGCCCAAGTATGGAGCTGAGCTCCATATTATCTTGCCTAACTTTCATACCCAGGGTTGTGGGGTGCACCTGGGTGGGGTTGACTTTCTGGTTACAGTCCTGGGAGGATGAGGTAGGGGTATCCATGCTCTGATTAGGAAGCGTGAATAAGTACAGCCAGTACCAACCATACTTAACAAGTTTCTGGATGCTCTGGGAAGTGTGTGGAGCCTCCCTCCTCCCAGTACAACTGCTTAAAAAAGGGCTGATACTTCTGCTCACAACTCCTTTGTCAGACAGGGGAGGCAGTGTGAGCCATCTCTTAATCAGTGTTACAAATGAGAAGTCTGGCATTTGAAAAAGCCATTTTGCTTAAATTTTCTTAGGACCACTTGAGTGTAGATGATGGGTTTTGGGTATGCCTAAGACATAGTAAACATTTGATAATAATAATAATAATGCAGTTTTGTTTATTGGCTGGATGACTGATGACAAGCAAGCTGTATTCCTCTCCATACATCTTTTGACTGTTTCTTTCTGAAACCTGGAGATACTGATCTTCCTCTATTAATATTCTGACTTCCCTGCTATTTTATATTACTTCTGAGTGTATCATTATCATGATTATTTGATAGATGTTAATTAATTACATGAAATAAAAAATGGGGGGAAATAGATAAGATGCTGATAAATGCTCACTTGCCTATTTCAGGAGATCAGGTTTTATTAAGGTCTGTGTGTCTCTTAGGTGATTTTAACCTCTTCGACCCTGTGGGAAAACCCAATGGATCTATTCAAGTACAACTGGATTGGAAGTCTCCCTACATACCCCCTGAGAGCATTCTGAAACCAGAAGCTCAGCCTAAAGAGAATGACACCGAAGGCAATTCAGAGATCTCATCTGATGAGGAAAAGTCTTCCTTTCCTTCAGAGGTAACTCTCCAGGACTCCCGAGGCAGCAGATCTCTGCCAATCCTATGGAGCAGATTCAAAGGAGACAGTATTGAAATTGGAGTAAAAGAAATTCCTTCTGTGAATGTTATGTGTTCTGCAAACTTAATCTGTATCCCTTATAATGCCATGAGGGTATTGATAGAGAAAAACCCTGAGTTTTATTGTAGGAGGGAGAGAGAGATAGCATCTCTCAGCTCTAGAGCAGGAAAAAAGTGAAGTCTAATGCTAGTTCATAAATCCCTTTCTTTTTTATCTTTCTTTTTTTTTTGAAACAGAGTCTTGCTCTGTTGCCTGGGCTAGGGTGCTGTGGCATCAGCCTAGCTCACTGCAGTCTCAAACTCCTCGGCTCAAGTGATCCTCCTGCCTCAGCCTCCTGAGTAGCTGGGACTACAGGTGTGCATCACCATGCCCAGCTAGTTTTTTCTATTTTTAGTAGAGACAGTATCGCTTTTGCTCAGGCTGGGCTTAAACTCCTGAGCTCAAGCGATCCTCCTGCCTTGGCCTCCCAGAGTGCTAGAATTACAGTCATGAGCCACTGTGCCCAGGCCATAAGTCCCTTCCTTGAGTATCAAAGGTTGTTAAAATATCATCTTGTAAGGTTGTCTCTGATCCTTCCATTCAGGACCAGATGGCATCTGCTGAGATTCCCATTGAAGCTGGCCAGTATCAAACAAAGAGAAAACCTCCTCAGGTGGGAGAAAGAAAGGAAAAGGAACATCAGGTTGCAAGCTACTCAAGAAGAAAACATGGCAAAAGAATAGGTGTTCAAGGAAAGAACAGAATGGAATATCTTAGCCGTAACATCTTAAATGGAAATACATTACAAGTAAGATCTTAGAAACCTGAAGAACCAAAATAAGGGTTGTAGTGTCCCCAAATGTATTATTCTTGAGGTAGAAGCAGAAGATGACACCGAAGATAAGCAATAATCATAGCTGTTTGTGGCTGGCATGTGTTTCCACAAACAAAAGTAGTTTAATAAACCCCTGGGCTGTTCATTTCAGTGTAATTTAATTCAGCACATTATTTACTTTACAAATTTATGCTTAGAACTTTAATACCGTGTGTGTGTGTGTGTGTGTGTGTGTGTGTGTGTGTGTGTATGGTATTTATTTTTAAACAAGTACTAAATTTTAGAAATTAAAAAGGGCTAGTATTAAAAAGGAAAAACAGGCCAGCTGTGATGGCTCACACCTGTAATCCTAGCACTTCGGGAGGCCAAGTCTGGAGAATTGGTTGAGGCCAGGAGTTCGAGACCAGCCTGAGCAAGAGCGAGACTCTCATCCCTACAAAAAAATAGAAAAATTAGCTGGGTGTGGTGGCACATGCCTGTAATCCGAGATACTCGAGAGGTTGAGGCAGGAGGATCATTTGAGCCCAGAAGCTTGAGGTTGCAGTGACCTATGATGATGCCACTGTACTCTAGCCTGGGCAACAGAGCGAGACCTTGTCTCAAAAAAAAAAAAGAAAAAAATAAGAACCAAATACTACATGTTCTCACTTATAAGTGGGAGCTAAACGATTGGCATGTATGATCATAAAGTGGTGTAATGTACATTGGAAACTCAGACAAGGGTAGAGTCTATCGAGTACAGTGTGCACTAAAAGCCCTGACTTCAGCATTATACAAGTCATCCATGTAACAAAAAAAATTTGTACCCCCTTAAATCTATTGAAATTTTTTTTAAAAAGGAAAGAGAGAGGAAGGAAGGAAGAAAATCAAGATGTTACCAGCTATATAATATTGTTATTCTTATTCTGAAGCAGGTGAACTATACTGAATGGAAGTTCTCAGGGCTTAAAATCTCTACAGATGATGGTTTTGAAAATCAGCATGAGAAAGAAGAAATGGCAATATCCCATTCACCACTGAAACAGAAGGAACCCCTGCATCCTATAAATGGTATTGTTTTTTTAAAATCTAATTTTTGTTTAATCATTTAATTATTTCATCAAGCCAGTTATTTGCTTTCTTTCTTCATCTTAGACTGCTAAACTTTACTTGGAAAATTAGTACATAAGACCTTAGGCCCGGTTTTCTTTTACAAATGTGATGGTTGAGCCAACAAAGGCTGTTATTCTCAGAGAAAGTAACTTTCCATGTATTTAGAGCTAGCTGGCTTAGTTACCTAGTATTTATAAAATGTTAATTTGCCTCAGGGTCTTATGAATTATAGTTACAAAGAAGTAGGAGAAAGAGCGTGATTAGCTCATTTGTGAGGTTAATGCAAATTTTTAAAAACTAAGGCAAGGCTTTCATGTTATAATGAAAAATGGACATGATTTCAGATTATAGTTATGGCAAACTAGGTAATTCGGATCAACTCTCCCATTGATGACAACTAAAAAGCTAAAGTTTATTTACATGTGTATATATATATATTTTTCTTTTTCTTTTTCTTTTTCTTTGGAGACTGGGTCTTGCTCTGATGCCCAGGCTAGAATGCAGGTGACATCATAGCTCACTGCAGCCTTGAACTCCTGGGCTCAAGCGATCCTCCTGCCTCAGCCTTCCAAGTAGCTGGGACAACAGGTGCGCACCACAATACCCAGCCAATTTTTCTGTCTTTTTTCTGTCACTATGTTGCTTAGGCTGGTCTCAAACTACTGACCTCAAGTGATCCTCCAGCCTTGGCCCCACAAAGTGCTAGGATTACAGGTGTGAGCCACTGCACCCGGCCCCAAAATTAATATGTTTTTTTAAAATCTTCTTAATGTTTTTAGGAAGTATTAAAGAGCCACCAAGAGAGGGAAAAATTACCTATCCTAGATCAGGGAGATGATTAGATCTCAGAGAGATGAGTTCAACTGCTTCAGCCCTAGCACATTGCTAGTCTGGAGGAGCCGGAGCAGAGGGAGAACGATGCTTCTGGTGGACTTTTAGGGTAGGTAAATGGGGATGTAGTCTGAACCTGGTGTCTTCCCAGAGTAGGCAGGTGTCTGCCCAGAATAGAATTTCCCACTGTCTGATCTGGAACCCTGAAGGCAGCACCATTTTGAGATGCCTATGCCCGGAGAGGCAGAACTGTGTTTTCGAGCATTTGTAAGTGTTCACCAGGTGCCTACCAGGACTCCAAATGTTGACATTATCAGACACAAGCTATACAATAACTGTGTTTACTAGCTTCATGAAGATAAAAGCTATGTTTTAAAATTTCAGGAAGGAACTGAACTATGAAAATTGATTAAAAACATTTTTGTTTTAAGATAATTTCAAATGTAGATAAGAGCTGCATGAATAATACAAAAAACTACATATACCCTTCACCCAAATTCACCAGCTTTTAACATTTTGCCACTATTTACTTTATCATTTTTTCTGAAACATTTGAATAAGTTGTAAACATTATGCCCTTTACTGCTGTATATTTGTTTTCCTAAGAAAAAGAAAATTATATTCTATAACCACAATACGGTGGTCACATTTGAAAAACTTAACATGGATATATTATTACTAGTATCCGGGCCATTTTCATAATTTGACAGTTGTCCCAATAATGTTCATTACAGCAAGATTTTTTCCCGCTTATTCAATCCAGGATCAGGCATTAGTCATTTCTCTTTAGTCTCTTTTAATCTGGGACATTTCCTCTTCTTTTCTTTGTTTTTCATGATATTGACGTTTTTGAAGAGTGTAGGTGAGTTATTCTGTAGAATGTTCCTTAATTTGGATTTGTCTGATGTTTCTTCATAATTAGATTCAGGTTATGAATTTTTTAAAGGAAAATCACAGAAGTGATGTTGTATTCTCACTGCATCACAATTAGGAGTTACGTGATGTCGGCTTGTGCCTTATTAGCTATATTAACTTTGATCAGTTGGTTAAGAAGGCATCTGCCAAGCTGTTCCACCATAAAGTTATCGTTTCCTCCTTTGTAATTATTACATAATCTATGTGAAGATATTTCAAGACTATATAAATATTTTGTTCCTCATCAAATTTCACTTAATAATTTTGGCTCCCATTTATGAGATTTTTTTTTTACCTGGATCAATTACAAAGTGTTTTCAAAATACATTGCAAATTTGGAAATGACTAATAAAGATTTTAGAACTACTAAAAGCAGAAATTATAACAGAGAAAGAGATAGGTTGAAAGCATATTAGACACAACTAATATGAGAATTGATGAAAATATCCAGAATAAAGCTAGGAGAGGCAACAAGTTAGCAAATACAAAAAAGGAAAAAAGAGACATAAAGAATAAAATGAGGCTGGG